GCGCTGACAGTCGGTGTTCATGGCTAGAGCACAACGAGCGATGACGTCCAGAGTTAGACCTTCAGCTACGTGGCTCATGTCGAAAGTTTCACCGGTGGCGGCTTTCTCTTTCACGATGTCCACGAATATTGTGACGCACTCCTGGATGAGATCTTTCATCAACCGCATCTTCGCAGCACTGAACGAGGGAGTCATGACACTTCGAACAGACTTCCATTTTTCGCCTTTCAGAAACAGGATGGAGCTCCTGAAGGGCTCCTCGTTCATTGCACCTCCGGGGCGATCCACGAATGTCGCAGCTTCCTGCGAGTGACGAAAAAAAAACTGAATTTCAGAAAGAACAGTCTTTGTTCAGTGCCTGCAACATCGATACGGTGAGGAGATGCGCCTCATGTAAATTGAGACTTTTCCCGACAAACCTTCACGAGAACTTCTTTGATTGTATCGAGGTCACTGCAAATGATTACGGGCTCGGCGCCGTTGTACATCCCGAAGTGGTCGCCATACTTGGCGATCCATTCGGAGAGTAGATGGACCCTATCTTTTTAAGTTGTAGATAATTGCCTGGAATGGAGGCGATAACGCGGATCAATATAGCTCTTCGCTCGGAGCTTGTAAGATTTGGATGAGGCTCCCCGCTCGGAGATGTTGATCGAACTCACCGAACAAGAGATCGGGCTTGGGTCCATCGATTCCATGTTTCTTGAAGAACTGATGCTCAACGAAATGTCTCCTCAAGAGCCAGAGTCCCGAAAGCGTGGCTACGGACAAGAGCAGCACGCCGCCGAAATAGCCGAGCATGGAAGTCGCGAGCTCCACGAAACCCATTCCTGTCGAAGTCCGCGGAGATCGGGTTCTGCTGTCGGCATAGAACGAACTCAGTTCTCCGTCTCACACTGCTGTTCCTGGGAAACCCATATTGGTACGGCGGGAATCTTCTACTTCGAGTTTTTCCCAGTATCTTTCCCTGTGGTGCCTGGAGATCTAAGTCACGAGACCGGAGAGAGTACCAGAGCAGCTGAGTCTCGGATTCCGCCGAAGACGAAGAAGGAACTTTGATTTAGGACTGCAGAATCATGTATTCCACCGGCTCGGGTTTACGAACCATAAGAACTGCCCCGAAGCAGAAAATACGATTCGCGTCAATGTCCGTTCTATTTTACTCGCACTCGGCTCGTGGCGCTCGTGGGAAGACAGCTGGATCGATTACTGCTGGTCCCGACGGTGCTGCCGTAAACAAGGGGAAAGAGTCCACAGTACAGCATGGGATCGCTCCCGACTGTGTGCTCACTCCTCCGGCACGGCGGCGGGAGTCAGCTGGCCGCAGTCAACCTTGGGTACCGCTCAATCGGTTCCGCGCAAACATTTTGGATAAGATCGATCCGATTTGAGATCGCATTCCCTACATCCGAGAGGGACCTATTCTTAGCTCGGGACAAAGGTCGACCAAGCTTGAATGATGGCAGCAATCACCTCACGGGCGAGACGCGGGATTTTATTATGGAGAACTCGTTCATCGAGTGAGGGAGCGGAGAAAATGGACTCCAGACCAGAACGATTCCCTCGGCCTGCTCATAGTATTATGTATATCTCCAGCGTTAGGTGCTTCGTACGTCTCATCGTATGATTCTAGCTATCATTGGCGCTGGAACGAGCGGTCGTTCAGTGAGTGCCCCCTCGCGGGACTAGGCTCCAGCGTCGGCTCCGAATAGACGACGAGTACCCCGCAAGCCCAGAGCTCCACAAGCT